GGAGCGCCGCCGCACTTCCCAAGCGGCGCACTATCCAGTGCGCCACCAGGCCGGCCCCCTTACTCACTTTTTTAATCTCAATTTTTGTCCTAATTTTATATAAGAAGCCTAGAATCCAACGGAATTAAAGGAGTTCATTCCACAGGCAAGTATTTCATTAATGTGCTATATTATTGTGAGCACAAAGATGAGTGTGTTCTAATTGAATGTACATAATAATTGTCGTAAGTTAAAAGGAGATCTATTAATATTTGCCACCTATCCAGTTTAAAATGGCCTATTTATCAAATGTTCAAAATGTCACTGTTTACATTAGTTTTCATGTAAAAATATACTGTTGCTTAATAGTCAACTGAGTCACATTATTTTTTACAATTAAAGAAACAAAAAATTCAGCTGACAAGTTAAGATAAGGGAAAGAATAGAAATATAATCCTTCAATAACAAATATACTATACGTTCTAATATAGGCTATAAAAAAATCATAGTACTATTTTTAGTCAATCATCAAGAGACACAACTGTTAGCAATTCTCTTCGTAAAACAAAAGAATAAAAAAATAGCTACTGAAAAGCCACTTTAATTATTCTAGGTATCGAACACCAACACATTCCTACTGTGTGGCTTCCAGAAATCAATGCATTCTAAGTTTCCTAAAAGTAGACAAAAAAGAAACAACCTGGTGGCAGGTAGAAATCTCGCAATCAGTTTCTGTTGTGTGTGCAGTCTGTACCTAAGTAATGACGGCAGACAGGCAATTCATATGTTCAGAATTAAAGATCCAAGGTTGGAAGGAGAGAAAGAAAAGAAAAATAGCTCCATAAACAAAAGAAAGCCAGGTTGGATGAGAGGCAACCTAAAATTTCTGACCGTCAAGAATCAGCATATTCAATGCCTGTCTCAAAGATAAACAAAACAGCTTCTCACAGGAAACTTTGAAGTGGGCAAAGAGGAAACATTCCTTTGCACCCACAGGAACCAACCCCTTGACCATTGGCATGCTTTTACTGAATCGGTCCTGATTTACGGGAATTTGGCCCAGATGACAGGAAAGAAGGGGAGCCTAGGATTCCAGAGGCCTGGGGAGACACACCCTAGGCTCGGGGAAGGAGAGGGGCGAGCACTCCTCACCATGATTATCTTTCTGCCCGATATTGTGTGTGCGGATGAGAGAAGAGAGTCTCCTCACATCCCCCTTGAAGACGCATTCGTGAACCGGGTAGTGTGCGGGGCAACTGCCTCCATCTGCGACGACAGCAAGGGGGTTGGCGCCCGCTAGGAGAGCCGGGGACTGGGAGGTGGAAGTCACGGAGGAATTGTGCAGCAGCAGGGCCGGCACGCCGGGGGGGTTGGAGGAGGCCGAAGCTGCCTTCAGCTGCAGCCGGTGGTGATGGTTACTGAAGATCTTATGACAGGATTTGCCGCCCTTGCCGCTACCGCCTGAGCCAATCCTGCCGCCGGTAAAGGGGCCGCCGAGGGCAGCCGCCGCTTCCTCATCCCCGGGCTCCAGCAGGTCCCCCTCTTCTTTGCTGGGCTTGTGGTCCCTCCGCAGTGAGCGGATCTTCTCCCCAGTCATCGCCGCCGCCAGGGGCAAGAGGGGGATCCGGGAGGCTCACCGCCGGCGACGGAGCTGGCGCTGCGCGGCACAAGGCGATTAGAGCGGTGGCCAGGAGCCTCCAGCGCAGCATGAACTCCCAGAGCTTCCCCGAGCCCGGGACAAACGCATCTCCCGGGAAGAAAAGCAGGCTCTCGCCTAGGCACGGGGTGACACAGGCGCGCTGGGGGGACCTAGAGCTCAAATGCCCGCGACACCAAGATCCCAGTCCCCGCCGCCGCAGCCCCAGCCACCGCTTCACACCGAAAAACAGGGCACGGCCATCTTTTCCTTGCTTCTCTCGCGAGAGCTCCCCCGAGAGTGAAGAGGGAGGAAACACCGCGATAAGTGAGCTGCCGGGCTCCCTCTTCCGCACCTCTATTCCCGGATAGTCACTCGGCACTCGCGCCTCCCGGGAAGCTTGTTTCTGCGCCAAGAGGGAGTCCCCGAGCTAGCGGTCCGAGACCCCTTCACTCCTTCTGGCCGCGCTTCTCGTGGGCGGTCAGACACCGTAGCCTGCGTTGGAGATATTTGGTGCACATTGTAAACAATGACTTCAACTTTCCGACCGCCGATCCCCCCGCAGAGCAGTGCAGAATAACGCCACTGCACGCAGGATGTGATGTCACGGAGATGCACAGAACACTCGTTCAATAAACATTTACTAAGCATCTACTTCGTGCCATACACTAAGCTAGCAGATTTTTAAAGCGCCACTCCTGACTCAAGGAGCAGTGTAGAGAAGGGAAGAGTCAAACAATCGTGTACAATAAGTGCGCGGTAAATGAAGCGGATGCGGGGAGTTGGGCTGCACCGAAAAGAGAGGGGCAAATCTTACTGTTGGGGTGGCAGAAAAGTCATCATAGAAGCAGAGTTTAAGGGCTGCCCTCGGAAAACTATGAGCTGTTCGGCAGACCAGGAGAGGGGAGGTCACTCAAATATTCGTTAGATGAAAGAATTTCAAGCAGAGTTAAAAGTCGGGGCCAGGGGGTGGGGGGATGCTCACGGATGGCAATTACTTTCGTGTCTAGAATATCACTGGCTAGTTCATAGCCAATCTCAGCCCAGTGTCAGATTCTAAAGAATGTAAATTTTACGACCATAAAGCTTTGACAAATAACTAAAGCCGTGGGCACTGCGGGGGGGGGGGGGGG